GATACAGATGTTAAATATACAGTAATATTAATACCTATATGCATGAGTGCCAATTTAGTACAGTTATATGAATGTAACTTGGTAATACTAGTCAAAGTTCATGTATATCTAGAGCAAGATTGATTGAATTTGTCTTAAAGGGTCTTAAGTCAAGGTAGAAGGATTGTTTCTGATTATAACAGAGGCAGTGAGATTTCACAGTCCTTGCAATTAAGCTTAAAACTATTAAGAAGTTTAAAAACGAAGGATATTATTGTATTTACTACACTCCATGATGATGGATATAGTCAATACAGTACCAGCAAACGTTTGAAAAATACAGTGAACTCTAGGAGACCAATTCCTTTGAGCCAAAAAATATATAGATTATTATTAGCTTATTGAAATGAATTAAAATTAAAAACAATAATTTCTTTTTTTTTAAAATAAAATAATACTGTGCTAATAATACTTTGCAAGGCCACTGACTGATCATTAAAGATTTTGGAAAACAACATCTAAATATAAACCTTTTATCTCTGCCTCATTTTTTGTAAGAGCGTGTAGCGCAGCGTGTGAAGTGTTGTACTTCCGATCGTGAGATCGGGAGTTCGAGACCGACGTTTGTCACATTGCTTGTGTCCTATTAAAAAGGCCATATGTTTGCCTCTCTCCACCCAGGAGTATAAATGGGTGCTTAGTAGGATGAGGTGGCATTCAGCATTAAATTGCAAGCACGAATAGGAATTCTCCCCGGGGAGTGGAGGAGGTTGCACTTTGTGCTGGTTTGACTATGGATCCGATGACCAGGGGTAATAATAAGAACACCGCCAGCGCCATGTATCTTTTGGCAAAAAAAAAAAAAAAATCTATATTATTACAATATTATTATTATTATTGTTATTGTTAATTGTTATTGTTGTTATTATTATTATTATTATTATTATTATTTAATTCGAAAACTTATGAGAGTAGACGCAGTTGTCGGGGCTAAATGGCAGGGTCCAATTGGGTGTTGGGGTCGACTAAAGATACTCCCAGCAATATGCTGGTACCCATTAATACAGCCTAGGTAGACTGAAGCAATGTATATAAAGTGCCTTGCTCAAAGACACAAGTGAAATGCACAGTGAAGGATTAAAACCCCGGACCTCGAGGTTAGGAAACCAAACCATTTCCACTATGCCAAACCGCCAAGTTTATAACCCTCTACCATTATAAAACAATTACCATCTGATACATTAGTTCACACCATTCTAGGTAAATTGGATTACAATAGCAAAACAGTATTTTACGACTATTTTTATTTCCAGGTTTCATTTTTGAAATTTTCCCAAGAGAGATTTTACTGTTTTTTTTTTCTTTGTGTTCAATTT